TGTTGCCAGGTAAATTAAACTTGCTCGGGGCCTTCAGATTAAACAGAGCAGGCCCCTGTGTGCTGTAAGTGAACGGGCACAGTCAGGTTGCAATAGCCAATCAGATCACTAGTCTTGACTCGTGATCTGACTCGTCTGCGTACTAGGGCCAGCTAGAAGGCCTTACGTCGAGACAGGCCGTGCGCGTTCGGTGATTGGATTAGCACCTTTTCTGTTTACTGAGAATTGTATCCTGACTTGTTCAATGAAGATTCTTAAAAAAAAAAAAAAAAAAAGATTGGATTAGCGCCTGCTAGAGCTATCACTGCATTTGAACCCAAAATGGCTGAAGAGGAAGACGATCTTTCCACACAATTTTCAAGACGGGCCTTCCACGAAAAGCTGGATATTGTGCGAAGAGGTCGCCCAACTCCTGCGCTAGCTAGCCCGTCCCAGCAAGGAAAAGGGGTTGTCCGTCATTTTCAGACGAGCAATTATGAACGGTACCCATGGCTCACAGCCTCTGAGAAGCGCTGCAAATTGTACTGCTGGGAATGCCTATTGCTTGCAATTGGCCGATTTGGTGTTTGGAGCCACACTGGATTTACCAATTTAAGTTGCTTTACCAAGGCAGCAAGGAAACATCAGAGCACGGCTGGGCACTTACAAGCTACGGTGCGTTTAAAAACGTTTGCGGACACTCGCGTAGATCTGCAGCTCAGTGAACAGGCACTACATTGGTGAGTCAATGAATTTTATTTTACATTTCTTCTTGTCATTTTATTTCATTAGTATTAAATTAATGGTAACAAAATAAAATGACAAAGATACAAAAATGTATCAAATAAATCTGCTCACCTGCAATTTATAATGGCGCATTGTTGTCACCTTCGTGCACGAAAGTTCGTTCAATCTCAGCTGCTCAACATTTTCAGTGATTTGCTGTTGTATCGCCGATTTTCAAAATGCAAATGATCTGTTTACTTTATTTTCAAAGAATACCGGTAGTTTGTTTTGTTATTGTTTGGTTGGTGTCTTATATGAAACTGCGATATTGCGCAATTTATTGGACAGACTTGTTTAAGATCACACAGCGTCATTTAAGTTTTCACGTCACGTTTTAAGTTTGTAAGTCATGGAGTTGACAAATAATAAAAAAAGATAGTGTTCTAAGAGGTTCCATTTAGTTGTAGTTTTGTTTTTCTTTAGTTAATTGTATGTAAGTCATGTGCATCTTTCGAATACAGTGAAACTCCTCTACAACGAAATCATGTTTGCAGCAAGAAATTTTTCACAACAGGGAGCTTTTCACTGTAGCAAATTTGATCTCGGATGCAAACACACACACACACACACACACACACACACACACACACACACACACACACACACACACACACACACACACACAACACGTGT